TATATCAAGGGGGGAGCGGAAGAAAAAGCATTGAAATCTGTTTTGAGAGACTTACCAGAGCATGGATAGGCATATGGGCAAATTTCAGAGACTTTAGCAAGTTTTCATAAAATTAAACAATCCATAAAGATGGCAGGGAAGAGGGCAGAGAAAGACAAACTAGCAAAAGTTAAACCAGTGGGGAACATGAGCCCTCGACCGGAAAAAGTCACCGAGTTCTCCAAAATGTTGGCAGATTCCTTGCGCCCTCTGCTGGACCAGATGACTAACATCAAACAACAGCTGACAACTCTGAATCAGAACCTTGCAACTCAGCAGCTCCAACTGACTGAGACTTTAAAAATAATGGAGCAAACAGCTAAGAAGGCAAATGAAATGGATGCCAACACTAAAAAAGTTAAGAAAAAGGTGCAAAAGCTGGAAAAGAAACAAGCTTCGGAAGAATCACAACTTTTACAGCTGCAAATGGAGAAAGCAAATTTGGTCCTCCAGTTTCAAGGGGTCCCAGAATTAAAAGGCGAGAATCTAAAGCAACTCTTGAGTGAAGCATTAGCCCCAGTTACAGATTTAAAAGTGTAATATCTTGTAAACGAAATGGATGTGGTCTACAGGTCCTATTCCGTGTACATCAAGAAGAATGATCTGCCTGGGGAAATAGTGGTCACATTCTCAAAGAGGCATGTGAGAGATTCTATCCTGAAAGCAACTACAGGAAGACCTTTGAAAAATCGGGGACAACATCATCAGAATTCTAAAAGACATCCCATTTGAAATAAGGCAAAAGGGAAAGAAATATAAAGACTTAATCCTTTTTCTACAAACAAACAGCATTGCCTACAGATGGTTAATTCCAGAAGGCATCATTTTCAAAATACAAAAGAAAAAAGAAAAGATTGACTCTGTCCCTAAAGCACGTGAGTCCCTGAGATTGCAGCTGGGAGAGACAGTCGAGGTTGAGAAGAAAGAAGATGACAGCAAATCCAGTGGTGAATTGGACTCGGTGTCTTCCAACGAGGACTCTCTTTCCGATAAGGGGGTGGCTGCCCCCAAATGTGCATATAAATTGAGGAATAGGAAAGACAAAACAAAATGAAGGCTGAAGGACTCCAAATAGTGCCTTTAGTGTTATTATGGGATACTCTGGGGTTGCCCCCCAAGCCAGAAATAATGAGTCAGACACAAGTGTTGGGTTTAACTACAGGGCCACTTTATTAACGGACAACTTTTGATGGAACCAACGGCAAGGGCAAAACAGAATTGCGTTATGGTCAAGGCCAGAGGTCAAGGACCCCTCCCTTACCTTGTCAATAGGGCGAGCCACCCTGTCCCGGGTGGGAGCCCACTGCAGGGGCTCCCCACCCGGCCGGCTAGCTATTGCAAGACAACCCTGTAGCCCCATCCCCCAAGCCGCAAGGCTCAAAGAGAGGACCTAAACAGGGCCGTCCCGAAGGCAGTCCGTTTTCCCCGCCCCATGCCGCAAGGCACAAAGGCTGTACTCACAGGACCCCTTCAACCCCAAATATGGGTGTCAGCTGGTGCTCACCGGACCGCAATCTGTATACCGCATAGCAACCTGCCTAATGAAAGTGACCAACCTAACTAACACGACTCACCTCCATAAACACCTGCATCACTGCCGCAGTGCAAGGTAGGCGAAAAAACACTCCCTCCAAGTGCCAATCAGGAAGGGGTGAAAAAATTCCTACCCGGCCCCCAAAAATGGGTGACCAGCAAATGCCTGCACTACTAACAGG